AATTCCTACAAGACCTTGTCTAATTTATGAAAGACATGGCATTCCATTCTCTAATGGATGTGACTTATCAGGAACCCTGGGTAAAATCTGCAGAGATGCTTGCGTCAGTCTTGACCTGGTTACTACTAGGATAATGCATTAAATTTGATTTCTTTAAAATGGAAGACTATTACTTCCATAGCATAGCACAAACCAAGACCAACCAATTATACAAAACAGGTTTTCATTTCAGGTTGATGGGTAATACATGTAGTATTAAATTGCTACAGTAATTTCAGCAATACAACCAGCTATAACTGACACTTGCATTTTGCATATCCATGACAAGTTCCTATGACTTCAGCAATATAGCCAGCTGTTCAAACTTTTCTTTATTCTGATGGATGTAACACTGCGTTTCCCAGAGCATTCTGACCAGTACAGAATCACTGGTTTCATCAAGCATCACCTCACTGGACAGTTGTGGATTGAATCTATAAAACGGTACATCAATCATACTACACCATGCCCTGGATCTGTCCACAGGTCTGTATGCAGACTCTGTCACCTGGAGTGGAAAGCAAAATACACACATTAGTTTCGCATGGTACCGGTAGTAGAAAATCTTGTATTTTTGCAATCTAACAACTAATATAATAATAATACAATGGATTATGCAAATTTTATGATATTTTATGAAATATGAACATAAGTAAATAAATATATAATATTAGTTTGCACGCATCTCTGTTGTAGTACCATACATACATAGTCAGCCAATAAGAACCCTTTTTACAAACTGCATGCAATTAATGTATTTAGTTTTATTAAAATGCTCTCTGATAGGTTAACTAAGCTCTCAGAACAACTCCAACCCACCTGTTCCAGCAGTATCTGTCCAAGATTAACAGCACTCATAACATTTTTTGCCATATCCCATAAACTGTCAGGTCGTATACATCCACGTGTTTAATTGGTTTTACAGGAAGTTTACCGGTCCCCAACGATACCACAACACCAAGGCTACGAACTAATTCACTTTGACCCTGAAAAAATAGGCAAATAAGTGAAAATGAACATGATTAATAGTGTGTGTGACGATTTTGGGACTACTTTGTTGCATGTGTCAGAATACATACCCATGTAATGGTGTTATATATCACTTGCTCATCCAAGTGTATTGATATTAAAAAAAGTAGTGTCGTTGGTGTAACTGAAAATGGCGGAATAAACAAAAAGTTTAATGGGAAAGCTTTCTGGTTTTGTCTTGATTTTTATGTAAAATGAAGTGGAATTTCACCATATTTGAATCAGGTATTTGACGACAGAGCTGATAACAGTGTCATGTGTGTATGTACCCCATACTAAATAATATGATTCTTAAAGGATCAGTAATCTTACCTGCTGTTTGTGATACAAGTTGAATTCATGTATTTCTGTGAGAATATCAAGTGTGGGATTATTTGCAATTAATCCCCATCTAGGAATCTTCCAACTGCTCGAAAATACGTTGGTGCGGCTCCAGATGACCTGGCAGCTCTCCAAACTAATTGCTCTGAAACGTAAAATCATAATTAAATTGAAAGTTAATGAAGAAAATAATACTATCTGTATATTACAGAGAAAAGTGTGAAATTCTATGTATGCTAAAAAGTGCTGCATGTGTGATTCAAAGCCATGGTTACTAAGCAATTAAATATTTAGGTAGGAGGAGCCATGCACAGTAGTGAATAAAATACAAAGACACCCTAGGCATCCCCCAAAAGGATACTGAAAAATAGATTTTGATTTACATGTATTTAGCTTTAAAATGGACATGATCTGACAATTTTGAATTTGAAAAAAAATGAATTTGTGTATGTGAGACATAATGTATGAAGCATTTGTAAGGTCTGAACATGATCGGTAAAGGCATGTTGGAGATATGCCTCAAGAGCAGCGTTTGTTAAAACAAAATGGCCACCGGTCAGACATTTTAGCAATAAAATGACTAAATGACTAAATTTGAACATGATTAACAAGGTTTGTCCAAAATAAATATATGGGTTAATTGATAAGCACCTGTTTTGGACTGCTTCCAAAACGAACGAACGAAAATGGGAAAACATCATGAGAAAAAACACAATGGCCATTTTGAATCATATGGTAAAATAAAATGATATACATCAGTGATCTACCATGGGTAATGTCAGAGCCAAGTTTGAATTAACTTAACCAACCTACATTGTATGTATATGCTGGCGACCAGTCTTTCAAATGTCACAAATACAATCCACAGTACAGACATTGTTTACATGCATACAAAACTCAATGTGTTCATGATATGACATGATGATCCACTTTGGACACACTTGCTGTGGAACCACCTGTTGGTCTATCAAACAGCCATTCCAACTATCTTGCTAACTCTGTGTAGAATAGTCATCTCTTGTCGATTTTGTAACATAGTGGCAGCAATTGAACTAAGGGATCCTGTGTAAAGCATGTGCGTGTACAAGTGTGAATGGTGATGCCCATTTCACCAACATTATTAAAGTCTATCAACTGTCTACAATGTTACAAACCTAATAACAATTGGGACAATGTTTATTTATAAATTACAATATTATTTGAAGTTTTGTTGCAATGACTATACCGGGGTAATAATAATTAAGCACCATAATTACCAGTAACTCTATATTAAAGCTTACAATATAAACCTTTTATCAAATAAATTGAAAAAATTGACAACAAGCTATCGGTTATGATAGTATTCACAACACCAAACATCCAGAACAACTGAATTAAGAAGTTGACTTGTCTTTCATTTCTATCATAGGCAGTTTTTTTTTTCATTCAAACTATTGTAATATATCAAACAAAATATCAAAAACATACATTTCCATTCGAACCACATATTCTTTTATGTGGAGCTAATATTCCATACATTCCAATACACAGGAACCCCATGAATGAGGGAATTGATACTAACCATTTGGTTTGGGTGGTGGTTTGTAAGGCGGCAGGTTGACAGTTTGGTCTACTGAAGAATTGGGGGTTGCTTCAAAATTCCTAAAAAAATGCAATGTCGGAGGATTTCTATCACCAAGCACTCCAGTTACCAGAACCCTGAAACAATAAAACCATGAAGATAAAATAAGGATTTGGTAATAATCAGTTTTAAAAATTAAATGCCACAAAATCCCATAATTGGACACTGAGAAGTCCAAAAACTATTATTCATGTCTCCAGTCATTAATTGTGTAAGTTAGCTAAAATGTTTATTTTTTTTTAATTTTAGAATCAATTAAAAAAATAATCAATTAATCAGGAAAAATCTAAATAACAACATAATTTGAATTACTGTTTTAAATTAAAATAAAAACAGGTACACCGTGTACGCTCATTGATTTTGGAAAACAAACCAACCCAAAATGTTTCCTTTTCTTTTTGGATCAAATGGATATCAGTAGATGGTGCTCCAGTAAAAAAAAAAGCGTGTTACCTTGGTGACTGCACTGCATCCATCATGGTATTTTCTCCAAATTCTTCTTTCATCACTCTTTCCAAAGGTTCAGAATCATAAGGTCTTTTACCTTGAAATACTTCATTTTTCATCCGGAAATAAAAACTTTGCATTTCTCTCAAACTATGACCTGGGTAAGAATACAATCCTGAATATAACTGTGGATATTAAACTTTTAAATCCAATGAATAGTTGCCGGAATTGTATGTACTGAAATGGCAAAGTTAATTTGTAGATCTGTAGGCATGTTTATGATCAAAATAAGTCATATTTAATGGTTCAGTATACAATAAACTCAGTTATTGTTTTGTATGCACTTCAACTACAGACACACTATTTAGAATACCACTGTTCAAGAGAAAATTAGCAGTAGGAAAATTATAATTAGATTTTAGGTAGCAAATCAAAATAACTTTTGTACAATTTAGTCCTAACAATTAGGTTCTTCGCAATACTGGTAGTAGTTCTATAATTTCACATCTCATAGGCATGGCATTCAAGTATAGAACCGCAAGCCACACTTCATGATATTGGTCATAATTATGAATGTTACACTTGGCTGTAAGATGTGATTATTGATTTAAACAATGACAATCTGACGAACCAAAACTGTGGTTGTTACCATTCATGCGTGAATCTGGCAATTACAAAATCTGCACAGAGACAAAAGACCAAGTGTGTGGCATTTCAAAAATAAACACGAGGCCAGGACAAAGATTTCCAAAACCAGAGTGGTATAAACATATACAAATACCATGTACTATAGCCAGTGCCAATATACCACCAGTGCTGGTACCACCAATCCAATCAAATAAATTTTTAATTGATACTTGTGCGTATTTTTCTAACGCGATTAGTAACTGTATAAGTATAAGGCCGCGGATTCCTCCACCATCAAGTGAAAGTACAGTATCAAAATTCCTCTTGGTCGGTTTCATTGGCGATGATGCTCCACAGTCCACTTCATCCAAACCCATTTTCTCTTTATCCACAGATCGGTTTCTTTTTAAAGCGGCTGACACAACGGTTAATGCCAGAAAATCATCATAAGCTATTCAAAAAGGAAGAAAAAGGATCAGAAACACAATGGACAAAATGAGTTTGCTAATTTTAGTAAGGATATCGAAGATCAATTCTGTAGAGCTCCTGTATGACACAGAATATTGGTGTTTTATAAAAAAAATATTTGACAAATGGAAATCCATAAGTGAACCAGAGGTCAAAGGTGAGGATAATTGGCAAGCTGAGCACAAAACTCCATTCACAATTAAACCTGTACATGCATTTTTAATTAGAAAACTTGTATTACTTTTAATTAGAGACAGACAGACAGACAGACAGACAGACAGACAGACAGACAGACAGACAGACAGACAGACAGACAGACAGACAGACAGACAGACAGACAGACAGACAGACAGACAGACAGACAGACAGACAGACAGACAGACAGACATACCATACTTATTACCTCCTTTGTGTGTTCCCACACAATTATTACTCTCACTAGAGAAATTACAGATTCAGTGATGCATTTAACTAATTTGTTTCATTGATTATTATTTGTAATTCACAGTTAGTAGTTATGTACATTACTGCTAGTTTAGGTTAGTAGTTACAGTTAGTAGTGCTAGTTTATAATAGTTGTTACAAACAATACTTCTAGTTTATGTTAGTCATTACAAACAATACTGCTGATTTGTTAGTAGTTACATACAATACTGCTAGTTTATGTTAGTAGTTACTATCAATACTGCAAGTTTTTGTTAGTAGTTACAAATAATACTGCTAGCTTATGTCAGTAGTTACATACAAAACTGCTAGTTTATGTTAGTACTGGGTAGTTACAATTATTACTGCTTGTTTAAGTTAGTAGATACTGATACTGTATCCAACTCATTTAATAACAACCTTGGTTGGCAGGATTAGTATCCATCTGAAATTTTTCCGGTGGCTCTCCGTCATACTGTCCATTGTACCTACATCCCTCATTGCAGCTTTTCATCATGGAATGACATCGTTGAGCTCCTACCATATGTAACGCATATAGTATCTGTGGTCTGTGTTTAATACGACTGAGAGATACAAGGTGACGGGGACTATCATTTCTTTCATTCAATGCATTCACATCAGCACCAAATGTAACCAGTGTATAAATTAAATCCACTTTATCCATCTGAGAAAAAAAACAACAACATCAAATTGCAAATGCAAGTTGTCTTCCTTCATAAGGTGAAATGGGGCTAACTTTAATTTTTATGGATGTTTATAGTTGGCTCTATAAAAGCAACATATACCGGTATGTATATGGGTCAGATGAATTGTTTATAAACATAATTGAGCACTGTCCTTTAAAACCAGACATGAACTAAATGTGCTATATTGTGTTATAAGCAAGTTGATTTATTCAGAACTATTATAAGGACAAAGGGTTTTTCTGATCCAAGGATGTTTATTAATAATGAACCATTGTTTCCTTGTATTGGCATGATATAGAAATAAAAACAACTGATAAGTTACATGTAATTAGTATGCAAATTAGCTACTTTAAATGCAGACTATTATAAACTATCAGTCCTTTAACTACACAAACAGCATGCACGTACATAGTTTCAATCCAAAGAATATGGTTAACTAGCATGCAAATTAGTACTTAATATGCATACAATACTATAAACTTTTGCAAATTAGCTAATTAATATACATCGAGTAAATATATATATTTTTATGCACAGCCTAATTCAAAATTATCAGATTAGATAGTCTTAAGCATATGTACAAAGATTCAATCCAAAAGTGTTGCAAAGTACCAACATGATAAACCTATCAATTATGCAAATTAGCTAATTAAAATGCACAGATTGATTCCAAACAATTATCAGTCATGAAACTACTCAAGCTTAACAAGTTTCAATCCCTTTGAGAAAACTGTTAAAGTATATACAAAACATGCTGAAAGTAGTTATTGTATGCGAGTTAAATTATTACCTGGATTTTATTGTCACGTTTTTAGGTAATAGGTGAATGCACTAAAATAAAATGCAGTAAATATGCAAAGTTCACAATAGAATGCGGAAATCAATTCAGTTTGTTGATGGTTCAATATGAGCAAAGTGCAACTTTTTCTTTTCGATTTACGACAACATTAATTGGAAGCTCATCAAAGTCGCAGCTGAGATAAGACTGTATTAACAAGAATGCCGTAATGTTCAATTCATACGGTTTTCAACATCCATGGCTGTCCCTACAAACCTATGTTCGATCATGCTAGAAAAAGCTCTATTTGACTTCAGTGAAATTGAATGAGTTGTTTGAGTGTAACAAAAAGCTGGATCCTTCATCAATCAACGTTCCTGTAACAAATACTCAAATCAATTTCCATTTTAAACCAATAGATTTTGTCGTTTGAAATCACCTCATAGGTTAACTGATAAAAATCATGCGTCTTTGTATTCAATTTCCAACGACACATGACTTCATGTTCCATTCAACATTAATACATGTACATGTAAGTTTGCGTTTAGTTTCATCAACAGTAAATTAATCTCAATGTCCCTTATAATAAAACATGAATTGCATGAAAGGTCCTGAAAATAGTGGTTACAGCAACATAATTGGCAAGAAAAAAATCAACTGATCAAAATAGAGAAACCTAGCAGGTACAAGTACTAATACAAATTACTACCAGTAATACATGAGCATAGCGGAACAACTACTGGGCCCAGATGAGCACTGTGCTATGTTTACAATACTGCAAAAAGGATTGCATTTTTGATACTGTCGTCATACATTAGCCAGGTCAGGGCCAACCATGTTCGATCTGAGGTTACAGCTTTAAATTTTGAAAAAAAAAAACTG